TCAGTTGGTGATCATCTTCTGTATTCTCATAACCCTAATGTATAATTCAGGGGAGATAATGTGAGGAGAAATAAGATGCTTATCACTCTTGGAGGTCAAAGGGTAAAAAGATCAAAGTAGGGTGAAACTTATTGGGATTATATGCTGTAATTTTTCAGGTGACTACACATTTCAACAGTTCATCTGTCAATATAGTTCTGTAGTTTGTTTGTCAAAATTAAATGTAGTTTACAATGGAGTTATAGGTTATGAAAATTTCAATCTTAAACTACGTCCTTTAAAATGTATAAAAATTTACATATCTTCTGTGAAATCTTCCTGTGTTTTTGAAAAGTCTAACATTTCTCTTTCTCTAATACCCCATTCACACCAGCAAAACATGTTTTGTTAAACTGGTTTTCATTGAATGAAAATTATAAACAGAGAACTGAAAAACTTGATTTTCCAATGGATTCAAGTACTTGCTAACTTGCATTTCCAATGTGCTACATTCAAGTCAAAAATATTCGGTTAAATAGTTTCTATGAAGAAAAAAAAAATTAAACCGTGTTTAACAAAACAACTTTTAAACATGTTTAAGCTTTGGTGTGAATGGGGCATAAGTAAACCTTCAACAACACAGGTTTTGGCTTTCTGTAATGTTAGTTAAATGTTATTCAATCTAAACATACCCTCCACTGTAAACTCTTGATTCGTGACAAACTACACATTTCACAAGATCTGAATGTTCCTTACAGACATAGGCTGAAAAAGATATACAAATTAGTAGCTGAACTATTGCGAAGAACACCAAACTTAAAAAAGATGTTACTTGTCTCACCATGAACGCAAGAGAAAGAAAAAGATTTAAGTCCTTATCAGGAATCAAGCCCCAGACCTTAGCATTCTGCACTTCCATGCTTTACTTCTGGGCTACAAGTACAGAGAACTCGAGGGAGAGAAAGGCTGTTAGCAGGATCATATGTGACAAATTCTACACACTGCTAGGATCAGCAATGTTGAAAGCATCATGAGTGTAAATAGAATACAAAAAGATAGTACTTTTTAATAACATGATTTCTCCAAATTACTGTCTAATATCATAAATGTACCAGCCTACCCTTTGTGTCTATTACATGTCCAATTTCTCTGCCTGAAATCCAAAATGAATGAAAGTATTACAACTAGCAGTAAGCTTCAATCAATATACTTAATTAAAAAATGAGCAAAGGAAATACCCACATACCCACCCTAAGGAGGGTCATAGTTTGGGAGGTATCAGAAGGGGGGGGATAGGGGATGGAGGAAGATGGGTACATGAAGGGGAGATGGAGAGGGATGGAGGGGTGGTGGGAGATGGGAGATGGAGGAGGAATGGAGAGAGAGGGAGATGGAAGGGGCTGGGGATCTCAAAAAGCTTAATAAGTTTTTAAAAAGGAAAATTAAAACATCCCTTCCAAGAGTTCAATTGAGGTGAACTAATTAACTGGGAGGGAGGGCTTAAAGGGAAAATATCTGGTTTTGGGTCACAACTTACAGACTATCAAAGCACTAGCAGGGCTGAACAGGCCAGATGATCATTAATTTTCTTCTTATTCATAAAATTACCTGGATCTCTCATGTTGAATACTTGGACTGTTGAATCCACAGCTGCAACTATTTGGTTTCTCCTTACATTCCATGCCATGCAGTACACTGGAGATCCAATCTAAAAGAATAATGGTAAAAAATTCATTAAATAAATAAACAGCTCTCTTTCTCTGTTTACCCACTCATCCTTTCACTCTTACGATATCAAATATTAATTCTCTCTACTGTCTGTCAAACCTCTCTTATGATGTTAGTTCTGAGAAATTGGAGTTAAATAAATCAAATAACATCCACATTTGATATCTTGAAATTCTCATCACCTGTTTACTTGTCAATGTATTCATACTGAAGGGAGAAATCACTGATTGATCACCACAAGGAGTCAGAACAACTAACTTTTAATTTTTTACTTCTTTGACTCTTTGCAACATAATTAGACATAAATTCTCCACAAATATTTCATACACTGTCAGGAAAATAGGCAACATTGATTAAGAATATTATCAACTTAAGCATTTTGTTTGTTTTGTTTGTCTTTGGGAAATCAGTTGTGGTGAGGCTGTACATAACTAGGCTATTTTCCACTGTGATAATCATGACAGATTTTTCTTTACTGGTTGATTGGGAGAGTCTAGTTGTGAGTAAATAACTAGACTCTCCCATTTAACTAGTAAAGAAAAATCTACCATCATTATCACTAAGGAAAATAACCCATTTATGTACAGCCCCATAACCACTGATTTCCCAAAGACAGAATGTTGAAATACCAGAGGAAAAATTGACTGAAAAACCATCAGCTTACATCTCATTGTAACATTTTATTTCTTTATAAAATAACATGCAAATTAGTTGGTAAAAAAAATACCTTTAAATATATTCAAACTTACTGGAATCCTATCATGTACTGCACCTCCAGAGCCCCAAGCTATAATAGTGCCATCATTTGCTGCCGAAAAGAGAAGTTTTGCATCTCCCCTGTTGAAGGAAAAAATTTTGGCATATTTTGAATTATTATAACTGTCATCCTACACTATTTTGATTGGTTGAGTTCATACTCTGGCAGTGTTGCTCTGTGAGATTATTCCGTTATGTTAACCCTTTAACTCCCAAGATCTAATTGGTAATTCTCCTTACTATCTGCCATACAATTCTTATGATGTTAGTTCAGAGAATTTGGTATTGGATCAACTAATAATCCCATGATTGATATTCTTCTCTATTCTCATCACCTGCCTGCTTGATATTGTATTGATACTGTAAGGAGAAATTCTGTCTTGGTCACTTGGGGGAGTTAAAGGGTTAAGTGCTACAAAAGTGCAATGCATATAGCAAATAGTAAGAACTTTGTGACTGAAAAGTAACGTGACCCTCTTAACAATTGAGATCATGCAAAAGTTGACCTTGGTACTGACCAGAATAAAAAGCTTGTAACCCAGCCATCATGTTCACGAACAGAACGAATAATTTTCCCAGGCTCACCGGTGGAGTAGTCCCACACTTTGATCACTCCATCTACAAACAGATTAAACAAACACTGACTTATTACATGATCTTGTTATAAACTGATCACCTGTTCTTATCTGTTAACTCTGCAAACAATGTACACATTTTGAGACTTTAAAACTCTCTCTATTAGAGCAGGTGTTAATTATTTCTGGAGTGGCTGCTGACATACATGATTAAGAAAGCTAATTCTCATTGGCTTGGAAAAACGTGCAATTTAAAGCAAAAAATGGTGCGATTTGTGAATAAATTCCACTGATGAAAGCCAATCAGATCGCAAGGATCACCAATGATTTCAAAATGGATATAACAAGAGAGATAAAATAACTCATGAAAGTTTAAATTGCAGTTTACCCCCGTTTTACAGCCCATGTAAACCATGTTTGGATTATTATAGGTAACTGTAAAAAAGTATGGAAAGTATTTTTAAGGCTGTGATGTGATGAAAACACACAGGAACATAATCTGCCATATATCTGTAAGATTTTACGCCACTAACCCATTCGGTAGATTAATTATGATAAATTAAAATATAATTAAATTATATTACTGGCGTAGCTTATTTGGACAGCATGTTTATCCAGAGATTGGTTTGAAAACAAAACAATGAACTGCGCTGAAAAGGATAATTACAACTCCAAGGTAGATTAAGTCTAAAAAAAGGTCACAATTTGAAGTCATATGGTATTTAAAGTCTATAGAGAAAGCAGCTTAGATTGACATAACTGGCTTCACTGAAACTTTGTGGGGCACCAGGCTTATCGGTCGCTAGAAAAGCATTTGAAATTTCAGCAAGTATCGTATTTCCTGTCATACTACCTTCAAATCCCACAAGAATCTCATGTTTCATCGGATTGTACGATAGCGCTGTGATCGTTTTATTGTGGGTATCTTTAATCACCGCAAGCTTTTCCATCGCCATCTTCAACGAAAAGTTAGACGAGCACCTCTAGCGAAGCTCTCATTGCCGGAGAAAATGGCTAAATTCCTATACACGACAAAAGGCAAAAGAACAACAAACTATGACCTCGACATCCATGTTGCCTTGGGAACTCGGAGGAAACTGGGTCGGTTTTATCAGGAACTGAATGAGATCGAGGCTGTAGAAAAAATGCGGGAAAATTGATTGACAGCATCTAATTTCTCCCAACAGTAGCACCCCTGAGTTAAAATTTGTGATCACGAGAGTGTAGGAGGAGATCGCATACTCAAGGAGCTCTTGATTGTCCGACAAATTCTCCTTGTAAGTCTCAAGAAATGTACAAAGAACAGTGTGGAGGTCTTGCATACCACTGTGATTTGATTTCAGGAGCACCCAGGGTGCTTAAGTACTTTTGGTACCTCAGTACTTTTGGTAACTCAGGGGAGGGCGCTCATTTAAAACAGGGTGCTTAATTATGGACAGGGCGCTTGAGAAACAGCCAAATATGCGGAACAAAGCTTCAATGTTTATTTGAAAAGAATCACGAAGAGTGAAAAAACCAGACCATGGATCCTTCCTGGCAAGTACAACCAGCCAAGAATATTGCTGATCTCTAATTAGTCTTGTTTACATTCTGGCCTTGTGAAAACAATTGTGTACAAATTTCAAACCTCTTTCCAGTCACTTCTCAAACAATCATGTATATTTTTCCAACTCAAGGTCAAAAGCCATATTGCATTTCCTGAGCTGACCCACAATTATCAAGGTTTTGCCCCAGAATTGGAAGTTCTATAGCTTTCCTGAGAATTTTTTTTTTTTTTTAAGTAAAGGTCATTTAAATGTCCAGCTACCTTTCCTACAATGAAACCTACAGTAAATGCAGCTGTCAAGAAAACTCACTACCTGTTCCCATTTGTTGTCATGGAACTTCTGACAAGTGCCTTAGGAAATGAAAATGCCACCACAATATCCAGAAGAGGAACAGAATGTTTATTTAACAGCTGATCTTCACATTGATCAATAAAAGAGAACACTGCATCCTCACTTTTAATCTCTCATTAACATTTCTCATACTAGGTACTCTAAGCTCCAAATGGAGCAAATAAGTTGATATTGTTTCATACAGTAAATCGAGTATAATATATTAATAATATAAAACATCAAGCCTTTCTGCTCAATATCAGCAGAGGCGTATACACCTGTCAACTTTCTACAAGGCAAAGGAATGAGAATTTCTGTGTAGGACCTGATCATGGATGAGAAAAGAATTCTAGAAGACAACCTGAGGTGTTCTGACACAGCATCCTCTCTACTGCTTTACATTTTTCAATATGGAAAAGCAAGTAAATGGGGTTGTCCACTTAAGACAGGTTCCACAGAATAGGAGTATTATAAAAAAAAGATAAAAAAACACCATGCTTTGCCATAACTGACCACCTAATTTTTTAAAACTTGCTCAAAAATACCACTGATGTTCATTTTGGGGGATAAACATTCATGGATTAAATTTTACTGGAAAGATGATTCTTAGTTTTATTTGAGAGGTCCTGCATCTGGTGAATGTTCAATACAGGTGGAGAAAAATACATTTTTAGAGGCCTTGGGACTTAGTAAAGGGTGACCATGACCACTTAAGCCTTAACTCCCATCTGTGATTAACATGAAACTTCTCCCTATAACATCCACACATTATTCAGCCAACATGTAATGAGAATACTCCAACTTATCAGGTAGAAGTTAGAATTATTGATCTAACACCAGATTCTTGTGACTTATTTGCAAGGAAATGTGTAGCAGCTAGAGGGGAGAATTAATAATCAGATCTTGGTAGTTTAAGGGTTAACACAAGATGACCACTAAAAACAGGTTCAACTGTACTTGGAAAATATGGAAACAGGACAGCATTAACCTTTTACATCATCTTTCCATTCTTGATCTGGTTGAGCTCTTTTTGCACTTCCTGAATATTTTAAAACGTATGTCAAGGCTTGAGTTGTGTGTAAGATTTTTTTTTCCCATTGGGATTGACAATCTCCAAGTAAGAAGTGTGAGCTTGCAAGGTGAAGTGAGGTCAAATTTTTTGATCTGAAGGAAAGAGCATCAAGCTTAAGACTTGACAGATGGCAGACATTAGCCACTTCTTACTGCTGTTTCTTACTGCTTTTTTTTTTCAGTGTTAAAAAAAAAGCACTCGAATAAAAATACTCATGAACAAACTCCTTATATGACTTGTCTTGAAAGATGAAAAAACAATTTTACACATTTGTGTGACTTTCATGTCCAAGTAAATAATAAGCCAGTTACAAGTATATTGTATAAACAACAGTGTTAAACTAATAAAAACAGTAAAAACACCAAAGAAACAGTGGCAATAATAAAAATAAATTAAAAGTGTTTTCTACTCCACAAAGATAGTCCTGACAGGTTTGTGTTGAGACATGCTGGAGAATCTTTCATCCAGAGTGGAGAATGTCTAAATTGAAATGAGAAAAAAAAAGGAATGGAATTACCTCCTCTAATGACAGAAAAATTATAAAAAGAGGAGTAACTATAAAAAATAAACTCTGAAATAGTAAATACTGACACTACTAGGTTTTTCACAACATACCTTCCCAGTCATGGCAGTATTCGTCGGTGGATTGTAATAGTTTGTGTACACAAGTGGCTTAAGTGGGGGAGGCTAGCGGAAAACAAACAACAGCAATATACAGCATTAGGTATCATCTCTTCAGTCTTAATGCACTGTAGTTACTACCATTTTAACCCTTCACACACTATCATCAGTATGCACATTCTTGATACTGTTCCCTATAATTACCTACGGTGCTGACAAGGAGATTTTGATTTACAATCAAGAGCTTTGTTGGTTGTTGATCATATCCTTTATTCTCATGACCTAAATAAGTGCTGCAGGGGTGATATTGTAAGGAGAACTTAGATGCTAGTCCCTATAGGGGATCAAAGAAACTCTTCATCATAACAGTGTACTACATCACTGCCAAGCATAGGCAATTTAGCAAATAAAGCTGCACATTTGTTTGCCAAGAGTTATTTTTACCTTCCATGGTTCATATCATTACACTTGTGGCTGATTTTGTGTTACAATGTACAATCCAAATGTAAACCAAGAAATATTCATGAAAAAGAATTTCATCTTACCTGATTTAAATTATTTGGCACTGAAATTCTCAGATCCTCAGTTGGACCCACGCCTCTTGGATTGTTTGCTCCAAACTTTCCTCTCCATCTTCTCCTGTTCCTTGGATTAGTTTGTTGATTCACAGGCTGTTTCCACTGTGGGGTTCTTGTCAACCTACACGTTAAAAATTGTGTATCTGACTTTTTCCTGACAGTGATTTTTGGTACATGATAAACAAACAATGTCTTTTCCAAGAATACCATGTGTTTAAATAGCCAATGACTCATTGGTTATTTAAACACATGGTATTCTTGGAAACGTAAACATAGAGCAATTTTCAAATGAGCATTGATTTCAATCTGGGATTGCATTGCCCAAATACTGATATTGATCCCCCATTATGGACCTGTCAAGTAAAATGACCATGCTGTTTGATATGGTTCAAAGCTGGTATTTCTTAAATTGTGATTGCAGGAGTGCCACCCAATTTTTTTGTCTCTGCTTTTACATTGTAGATGACCCTCAAAATAATATCTGGTAACAGAACAACACAAAATTGCATCTTTGGCTGTTTAAATCAGAGTTTTCATGTTATTGTAGAGGTCAGTAGACAATATAGAGGAGTCACATCTTTGCAAGAAAGTCAACTCATGGTACTCACGTTGCTCTTGGATTATTAATGGACACAGTTAGTTGAGGACCTTGCATACCACGCCTGAAAAGCATCACAAAAGTTTTAATATTTCATAAAAATACAGTATGCCTATAATAACAATGTAGACAAACAATATGACAACCCAAGGAAAACCATAATTTACACCAAAGGTAAAACAATACAACAACATTTTTTTGTACTGTATAATAATGAAAAACTGTTCAGCAAAACTAAATTAAAAGATACACTTCAAGTTAAATTCAATATTAATTACTGGAAAAAAAAAATTACACACAGGTGGTACAGGTAATGATGGACCATCATTCAGTAATCAGCTTTAATTGAAACCTCTGAGATACACTTAAAAAGAATATAGAAGATATCTATGATTCCACAGACAACTGCCTTCCTCAAGCTGGGTCCATGACTATCTATGGATTTAACTGACAAAATATTACTGCCATAGAAAACTCACAGCTAATGATTGAGGATGCACACCTGTTTCGCTGTTGCTGTCTAGTTGCTCCAAGACTTTTCACATTCTGTGCCTTGTTTTGTCGGTTTATCTTAAAATAAACGGTAAACAGACAAAAATTATTTACAGGCTTGCAAAGAGTATCTAAACTTCAATGTTCATGAGAAAATAATGATATCAGCTCTTTCACTCTTAGATTGATCAGCATCTAATTTCTCCTTACAATGTCACCCATGAATCACCTAATACCATCATGAGAATAAGGGAAATGATCCACAACTAAAGAAGCTCTTGATTGTCAAACAAATTCTCCTTGTCAGCATCTTAGGAAATGTATAGAGAACAGTATAGAGAATATGCATACTGATGTCATGAGTTAAAGGGTTAATTTCAAAGTAAAACAAGAATAATACACATGCATATTAGAAATTACCTGCATTCCTCTTCTATTGTTGATGATATTTTGTCTGGCATCTTTTTGCTGAGTTTGTCTGTTACTGAGCCTTCTATTCTGTTGAATCTGCTTGGCTTTGGAAATAATCTTTTTACTCTGCAGTGCAGATAAGAAACAATCTTTTAAATCGCAGACCTTCACAGATCAACATCAGAATTTGCAATCATGGGTTTTGATATAAACATTAAATACAAAAGCTCTATGACACTTATTTTCTTTCTGAATCAGTAGTTAACATAAAAGAGGTTACAAATGGCATCACAGCTGCCTTTTATGTCCAGATCATCAACCAGCACTTACAAATTCTTCATTTACGACTCAAACGACAATATTCAAACATACCCATTAACAAAAAGATAAAATTTAGATTTTATACCCTGTCTACTTTCCTCAGCATGGAAACTAGGCTATTGCGAAGAGTGCCAAGCATAACAAGTTTTTTATTCACCCAACATTGAATTAGATTAACCCTTTCACTCCCAAGATCTAATTAGTAATTCTCCTTACTATCTGCCATACAATTCTTATGATGTCAATTTGGAGAATTTGTTATTGGATCAACTAATAATCCCATGATTGATATTCTTCTCTATTCTCATCACCTGCCTGCTTGATACTGTATTGATATTGTAAGGAGAAATTCTGCCTTGGTCGCTTGTGGGAGTGAAAGGTTTAACCCTCTAACTCCCAGAATTGATCAACATGTAACTTCTCTCTATATCTGTACATTATCCAGCAAACAGGTAATGAGAATTTTTAAACTTCTCAGGTAGAAGTTGTTATCTTGATCCAACACCAAATTCTGATCACTAATTTACTAGGAGATGTGTAGCAGCTAAAGGAAAGAGTTCACAATCAGATCCTGGGTGTTAATTGTGTTAAATCAAATCAATAACAATTCTTTGATTACAATATTGGGTTAGATTTATTTATTAGATATTAAAATTGTGCTGTTGAATGGTGAAACGAGGAGGCTAAGTTAACAAATGTTTTCATGTCAGCTTGTTAGCTAGCAGACTGTCTAAGAAACTGTGAGGTTCTCTTTAATGCACAGCAAATCAACTGATGAGCAAAAGAAGAAAGAAAGATGTACCTTCTGTGCCATACTCTGCTTGTTTTTAAGTCTATTTGCAGCCACTTTAGCTCCCCGAGTTCTTCCTTTGTTTTGTAAATTTTGGTTTTTCTTGTAGGTTTGATTACCACTGCCTTGTCTTTGCTGAGCCACCTGACCCTTTTGCTTCCTGGTTGCTGGCCTGTTTCGACCCTGGGCTCCCTGTCTCTGTTGTGCAGACTGACCAGCATTTTTTCCAGCTATTCTTCTTCTCTGATTTTGTTTAATGGAGGTTCCCTTGTTACCCTGTTTAGTCTTGAGCTGTTGCTGTGTTCCTTTTTTCTGAGTCTGCTGTGTCTTCTTTTTCAATGCTTTCTTCTTTAACTTTTTCTGGTCTTTGATAATGTCATCTTTGAAAAATAGAGCCAAGAAATTCAATTCAAACCAATATTTGGGTCTCCCCTTTTTCACTGAAAATATTTATTTAGAGAATTAATATTCTCATATAAAAAGAGGCTACATTTTAACCCTTTCAATTTCCCAAGATCTCATCAGTGATTCTCCTTACTGTCTACCATACAATTCTTAGGATTTTAGTTTGGAGAATTTGGATCAAGTGATAATCCTATAATTCCTTTTTTTGTTATTCTCATAAATTTTCTGCTTGATATTGTAAAGATATTGTTAGGAGAAGGTCTGTCTTGGTCATTCATTGGAGTTCAAGGGTTAAAAAAAAGTCTCTAGTATTTCTTTGATAGTAAAAACCGTAAATATAATGTAAACACAATTAATAAATTATCCCATTCAACCTTTGAACAGATTGCAACCGTTAATACAATCAAACGCTACAAAGATAAAGCTTCAATTTACCCTTCGAGACTTAATCCATTCTTTCAAATCCGCGCAAAAAGATACCCTGCATTATCTATACAGAACATACTATTAAAATCGATCAGGTTAGCAAGAAAAAGATCTAAGATCAATCGCAAAATTTTTGTCACCGTTACTAACTTAATCTTTTCGATGATTGATACCACATGTTCTGAAAAAGCGACGGATCAAATCAACTGGGCAAGAGAGGTTTCGATCTATGCTCCATCAATTCAAATGCTTTCCTAAACCTTTTCCTAAATCAATAAACAGTGCATGAACGCAAGCTACGAGGTAGGTTGTTCACGATCGCAAACAAAGCTATCTAAATCCATCACAGCGAGAATGGAACATCTCGTGGGTAATTTTTACTAGTTCCAGGAGAAAATAGCTTAAATATTCAGATTATGCCAGTAAAACATCCTGATTTACTCACCTAGAGATCTATCTATGTTGGTAGACATTTTGAAAGGATTCTCGTTGATAGAAATCTTGTAGACGCCTGTTGACTACAACAAGACGTTAGCTTGGGAACCTCGTGATATTACAATTAACGGCGAGGGCCTAGGACTAGAATTGCCTCAGCAAAAAGTAAACGGCTAAATTTAATCTTTTTCAGCTAAATTTAATCAATTTTTTCTTCTTTTTTTTCTTTCCTTTCTGACTAAGCTTTATCATTCTATAAGGCTTCTTTCGATCTGTACTTGACGTCCATGATCTTGTGTCATCATAAATAAATTGTCTACATTCAGAGAGGTACATAATTTTGTTTTCGAACATTTTCAATTTGAGCATGTAGAGGTAAGCATAGATATATAAAAAAAGCGAGAATCCTCGTCGACTATATCTTGTCAACACTTTGAAAACCGCGAAAAAAGCAAACATCTGACCTCTTCATGACAAAACGAACACATCTTAATCTTAGCGCTGTCTTTGACTAATTTTTTCAGACATCTGTCTTTCTCTCTAAAAACTGCGAGTAGTACGCAATTTGAGATGGATCTCCTTCTAAAAAACATGTGTATCAATAAAAAGTAGTATTTCCTTCTTCTCCTGGAAGCTGTTTGACCTCATTTTAGTTGGCGTGGCTCCCTTTTTATGACGAAGTTAAATAAAATAGGAGTGCTTTAGCCTTTAAGCGTTTACAAGGAAGCTGTCCCGCTTATATGTACGATCTACTCAAATTTAATGCAGACCTACACACACGAACTGGTCGTTATAGCAAATTAAATCTCGCCTGCCCTCGTTTCAATCGCGAAACCGAGGGAGGGAGGACCTTTAGCGTATCTGCGACAAGGCTGTGGAACCAACTACCAACTAACCTAAAAAAAGAGGCGACAACGGTTATTTCTTTCAGAAAGGCCTAGCACAGACATTTTTTAACGAGCGACGATAAAGTAGAAAATTTCAGTCCGAATGCGATTTAACCCGACCCAAGCGGCATATTTTATTTTATCTAGTTTTTAGCTCGCTTATAGACCAGTTGACCAGTTTTATAATCCTCGAATACATTTTAATTCTAATCATGGTACTTTTAGGATCGAAGGCCACTACTTCATCAGTTGAATTACTGTTGTGTGTTACCTTCCATAAATAAAGTTGTTATAAAGGTGGACATGTAAAAGTGAAAAGGAAAAAAATCTTATATTTCGTATCTGTGAGTACTTTACCCCAGCCATACTACCTCAAGAACACGATGTACAGAAAGCCAAAACTATTGTATATTCTCGGCACTAAAAACTGCACAAGGGCCGCAGATCTACAGACGATCCAGCCCCACCCACCATCTTTGCAAATCTCAATGTTACGATTAACGATAACGACAGCTTCTTTAAATTTTGCTTTGTCCTTATTTGTAAGGATACCGACGTTCGACATTTTAAATATTCTGCTTGTTTCACGGGAAGCGAACAGTTGTTAGCCTCCTATGATTTCGTCACAGTGTTGACAATTATTTCCGCAATGGAGCGGAAAATACCAAACGCTTGTGGAAATACATCTACATATTAACTCGCTGCGGCAGGGGTGTTAAGGACATACGCCCTTTTGTGTCATAACAAACATGGTTGTATTTTATTTAGACGGCACCTTTAACTGTAATCAAGACAAGCTTTATAATAAACGTGATTTACGTGACAAATCGCAGATTTGCATGATAACGAGCCAAATAGAAACGATATGTTATAAAAACGAAGGAAAATTTCGTACCTGTGAGTGCCTTAGCCCAGCCCTACTCTCTCAAGAACACGATGAAAGAATGCCAAAGCTGTTATGGATTCCCAGCACCACAAATTGTACAAGAGCCGCAGATATACAGACGATCCAACTCCAGCCACCATCTTTGCAAATCTCATTTTTACGATGAACGATAGGGACAGCTTCTTTAGAGTTTCCTTTGTTCTCATTTTTATGGTCAACGATCCCCGACATTTTTTTTAAATTCATCTCGTTTCACTGTGTCTCAAGCGTGACCTATTACATGTTGATGAAGTTATGCTCGCATGTTGATCACGATCCTAATAAACGATATCTGCTTCCTTCACGTGCTTATGAAGAGGAAATTACCGGTGGACGAGAACAGTAAGGGGGGGGGGGGGGTGGGATTATTCGCCAAAATAGTATTGGCATGTGTTGCCGGCGTCTTAAGAGCGCGAGTTATTAAACGTTACAAGCTCGTGCTAGTTTATCCGATCGTTCATGTTTGATATAGAGTCATACTGGACGGTGGGGGAAGGGGGCGGGTGAATGGCGATAAGAAGAATATGAATTTCTTTTTAAAGTCGAGCGCAAAGCTCTCCAAGCTGCTCAGGCCGTGACGGTTTTCGATAAAATCATTTTTCACACGTGAAGGCGTGACACCTTTGTAACAATAAAAACAACAGGTGAGGTAATATAAATCATTATCACATAGAATGCGGTGTTATAAAGGGATTTTTTTTTTCCAGAGGGCACGATAACGAATCCTGCAATCTGATCGGTTCTTTACCCGGTCAGTATTTTCCTGTCTCTGCTCACGGGCAACGGTAACGCTTTCGTGAGTCGCCGAGTACATCCCTACTTTCGTTACCATTTTACATATATATTTATATATATCTCGTTTTTCCGGCTGGGTAATATTTTTAAGCAAAGAGGTCGGTCACTACCTCAAGCCGATAAAAAACTTATTAATCCTCTCTTTTCTCTCTCTCAAGTCACTTTGGTCGACTGAAAAATATTGGTTTCAGAATGAATTTGTATAAACATTAGTGTCATTACGTTGGTTGACAAGCGGCCTAAAAACCGTCTGCAATTAATTTTAATCGTTCACAAAAAGTACCTAAGGAAGTTAAAACTTGAGGTATTTGGTTACAGTTGAACCAATCGATGGAACTTTCATTCATTTAATATCTGAATTTTCTCTAACAATTTGTTCGTAGTGAAACGACGAGCGAGGTTTTAATTTCAGGTCTACAACAAATATACGCTCTCGATGAGTCTTTCCAAGTCCGTTCAATTTGGACGTTTGTACCGTAAATTGGACAACAGAAACTGAAGGAATTCAATGAGAAAAAGCCGCATTAAATCCCCTTGTGTCTCGTTGGAGTGTTTCATTCAAATTTAGTTTTCGTGGAGGGAAGACCAGATTTACACACGCCATTGCAGCAAACAAACGAGCAAACTCTCACAACTTCAAAATAAAAAAATTTGAATTTACTTACAATTACTTTCCTCGCCGTTTACTTAAAAAACGAACTGAGGTAATTTTTCGTACATGAATTAATCGTCGATGAGAGTGAATAATACTTTCCGTTCAATCATTGACTGTTTTTGAAGAAAACATTGTCGTGAAAACATTTTGAAAATTTACAACTTGAGTATAGGTAAACATACATGTAAATAGGCGAGAATCCTCGTGGACTATATTTTGTCAACACTTTGAACATCGCGAAAAAAGCAAACATCTTCATGACAAAACGAACACATCTTAATCTTAACGCTGACTAATGTTTTCAGACATCTGTCTCTCTCTCTAAAAACTGCGAGTAGTACGCAATTTGAGATGGATCTCCTTCTAAAAAAACATGTGTTTCAACAAATAGTGGTATTTCCTTCTTCTCCAGGAAGCTGTTTGACCTCATTTTAATCTCCGTAACTCCATGTTGTCTCATCGGAGTTAAAACTGGGACTAGTGACAGGATGCATGCGCACACAGCTATCATGCCGCCCGAGAAGAAAAAGGCTTCGTTGTATGTACTTGTGATCTCACTAAGAAAGCCTAGAAAAATAAAAATAAATCAAAAACATAAACTTGCAAGATTTTCCATGAAAGACATAAAAGAGTTTAAAATAAAAGCTAAAAGTAGCGTAAATTATTTATCACAGAATTACTCCAGCCAGGCCTTTGACAAGTATCGCTGACGACTGTCATTACTTTTTGTTTAATCAAAAAGCAAACCATTTTTACCTGAAAATTTCATTCATGAAAATTTTTCTCACATAAAGGGGTAACAAGCCATTTTACAATCCACACTAAGCCTTCCATGGGCAAACGTTTTACGATTCTGGGAGCGTCCAAGGACAGAGCATTTATCGACGGTTGGAATTCTAATCCTATTCATGTAGGTCATCATTGAAATGTCTAGTGAAGCTTTAACCTTTTCTTCGAAGAATGGACTGAGGTTTTGGTGTGATGACATCACTTTCAAACTGTCCTTATTGTTGAAAATTAAAAGCCCACAAATTAACAGAATGAAATTTGCACACTGGGTGACCTGTGCATCGAACCAAGACATGTAAACGTTTTAGAGGAGAAACGTACCTGCTATAAGTGAGCCTGTCATTAGAGGTATCGAGAAAACCAAATAGAGGAAACCGAGAGCTGATGATAGCTTGTTGCTACCGACGATATCTCCCGTGATAACCGGAGTCAAAGTCACAACCACCCCGTCAAAAATCCCAAATAAAATTGTAAAAAGGACAAGTCCGCCATAATTTGTGGCCAATGGACACAGCGTTGTCGTGACAGCCATTATCAGAAATGCTGATTGGTATAGGTACATTCGATTGACACATCGGTAATCCGAGACATGGCCGAAGAGAAGCCGACCAGCCAACGAGCCAACCGAAAGGAAACCAATGAGGAAGGAAGCCTTTGATTGTGGTATCTCATGATAAGTCGCGTGTGTAGGCTGTGAGTCGAGAAAAAATAATATTAAACATTTCAGTGAGGTTTTCTTTGCTGCAATTTGCTATTTTAAATGATTTTAAAAAAACATTTTAGGGCAAAAGAGACGGGTAATGAAACAGTAGAGCAAACGTCTCGTATAAAACCCTTGAGCTGCGCCTTTGCCGTTTCCCGTGACAACACGTTATCCCCAATAAAATGTTCACAACCTCTCGCTCAATTAAGATTTATTTAAGCCTGTTAGCGAGGCTTCCACTCGCACATCTACCCACCCAATAACACTTATATCTACTTTAAAGCGCATTGTGACCGAAAAGTAGCAGCTCTCTAACAGCTCTGCGTGAGGACCAACGTAATGCCATCAAATGAAAACCAAACGTTCCTGGTTCAGTAATTGCCGTATTTTCCTAGGTATTGGGCTCAACGTGCGCATTTTGAGCAAAGGAGGTCAGCTTTGAACTACCTCACAACCCCCCCCCCACCCCTCCCCTGATAAATTTTTAAACGTTCAAGCAAAGAAAAAAAAAACGAGACAAGGAGAGAGAATAGTCAACTCACCAAATATACGAAAGGTATAAAGTATCCTAAGTTGAATATACCAAGTGCCAGTGCCCATACAACAAAACCCTTGTTTTTCCACACAGCTAAATCAATGACTTTTTCCTCGCCTTTATACATCTTGCTCTTCACAGGAGGCGCTCTGTAAGAGAAGGCTGCGACAATCATCACGCAAGCGAGCGCCCCTAGGACTCTCATAGTATGTCGCCACCCAACACTTTCTACGAGTACGTTGATTGTCGGACCAATAACTAGAGCACCGACTGAGCTCCCCGCAGTAACGATCCCATGTGCCAAGGATTTCCGATGTTCAAAGTATCTGTCTAAAATGAGGAATGTTGGCACGTAACTCATGCTCGACCCCAGTCCCCACGTAACACTGTAGGTGATATAAATGGGAACGGGGCTACTGACAAATGACGTCGCAACCATAGCAATAACTGAAACGATTCCGCCAGCAATGGCCACGATTTGACAACCAAATCGATCACAAAGTGTGCTGGTTAATGGGCCAAAGAAGAAGTTCATACCCAGTCCCATTGAACCTATGTAACCTGCGGAAAAAAAGAAAAGACAGTAAGATTTAGAGGGAATTAACTGTACATCTAGATCTTGAGACACGTGGCTTATGGAAAACAGCTAGTTACAAAGTTAACCGAAGACTACAGAAAATAAATTGAACAAGCCATGAATACAAGATAAGGTAGGATAGGATAATTTATTTAACATCACATACACAGGAAGTGGTCTCCCGTGCTCATGACATAAGTGTTTGCCCAGCTGAAAAAAATTTAGGACTATATATGATAAAAGCTAATAAAGAATAAAAATAAAAAGAAATAAGATGTAGAGATTACATGTATTTGTATAGTTAATTAGTTTAGTCTGATGGTAATTGTGCTCAAGAGATTATGAACTGTTTATAATCTCTTGTTGTGATTTACTGAGTTAAGTTAAGAGGAATATTACTTTTGGGTGACCTCCATTCAGGGCACTCGAAGAACACGTGAGTTCCTTGTTACCTCGCAAGGCACACGCTTCACGTGACCACGCACGAGAGGCCGCACGAGTGAGACATGGGACGCATGCGCAATACTACTCTTTTTTTTCTCGATTACCTGTTGCAAATTATATCCTATTTGTGTCTTAACACTGCTGGATCGCGTTCCAGCAGTCGGGAAGCTGTAAAGTTACCGGCGAAATTGAAAAGTTGACATGTGTTGTGCGAGTGAAAAGGAAAATAATCTTATGTTTCGCACCTGTGAGTACTTTACTCCAGCCTTACTCCCTCAAAAACACAATGTAATGAATGCCAAAACTATTGTAGATTCCCAGCACCAAAAATTGCACAAGAGCCGCAGATATACAGACGATCCACCCCCACCCACCATCTTTGCAAATCTCAATGTTGCGATGAACGATAGGGACAGCTTCTTTCAGGATTTTTTGTTCTTATTTGTAAGGATACCGTTGTCCGACATTTTAAATATTCAGCTTGTTTCACGGGAAGCGAACAGTTGAGTTGAGAACTAACAGACTCCAATCCCTAAGTTATTAACCTTTGCTTTCTGTATCATGTTTTGTTTGTCTGCCCAAACCAGTTTCAGTTACACAAATACGCTAATTTAAATCTGAGTCGATTTTGTGAAAACGAAAGGTTTTCAAACGAGCCACAGCCGGGCAACAGGGCCATTGATTTTCGAACTTTGTAGGTCGATATCAAAGGGTAGTCAAAACACTCCAAAAGTAAATATATCCATGTTAACATTTTCTCGGTGATAATAGGTCAGTGTAGGATAAGCGGGCACACCACTCGAACATAGACTTTCCCCCAGTTTCGTGTTTACACAGGGAATACCAAATTGAACTGAAAACATCTCTGTTGTAGCTTGTTACGGCGGGGGTCAACAGATTTATGGTTTATGGTTTTAGCTTAATGTCTACATCATTCTGAACGGAAGTCAGCAAAGTACCAGTCTTCCCAAGTTCATCGAAATCCCTGCAGCACTAACAAGTCACATAATATTGGCCTGTTCTTTTAAGACCACTTTTCTTTTTTTTTTTTTTTTTTTCCAGAAATTGAAGTGTCGTAGATTAGAACTTAATCAGCGCCATGAGGTCAAACTCGAATAACACAGTAACAGACGTAAACTACAAAAACGAATCGTAAGGCAACACCAAAACTATCTCTCTTTTTTCGGGACAACAATATCATAGGAACCTTCATGATGAAACATCGCACAGGCACCTACTAATGTTTTGTATGCTTTAGGAAAATGGGGGCTCTGCCTTCTCTGGGGAATCTAAATGTACATGACGGGTCGCGGGTCGAGAAAGCGAAGAAAGGTGTTTCTCTGGCTGCATCAGTAAAACTCGGACTTTAATTTTTGATTCACTGTGGCTAATTTGAGGAGACACAATATTTCGAATGCAGGAGAGTCCCATAGTGTCTGTATAAAACTGAATTACCGTTTTTACTAGTGTATAAGTCGAACTCGCATATAAGTCCATCCCATGTTTTCAAGGTCAAAAATCGGATTTTTTCATCATTTCTGGTCAAAAAAGTAAAATTCAGACAAATAGGAATTTTCCAAAAAGATAATCTCTTATTTCTGAGATTGTATTGGAAACACGGGGAATTAAGAAAACTGCAGAACAAATTGTAACCGTGTGCTTTGAAGTTTATTAGCACTGTTTACATCACCACGATTTAAGCATACACGAGCACTTCGATTTACTGGAGAAGCATCGTACCATATTTTGTAAATCACATTGAAAATCAAACCTTCTTGCATTTAACTAACCTTTATCTTAATGTTGAGTCTGAAAGGAGATTAAGTAGACCGAAGGGACACCGGAGAGCTTCAGAGGATAGCGCGTATCAAACAAGACCGCGCGAGACAACAATAATTGTCAGGTCACTAAGCTACTGAAATCGTTCGATAAAGACGAAAGTTTAACACTGTAAACAACAGGGAAGCTACTAGCAAAAATGTGTGCCCTACAGTCCGAAGACACAATAGAGATCAGCTCCAGTAACTTTGTGTTCAGCCACTTCAAATTTCTTATTTCAAACTTTTTTCTTGACGAAGAATGCGCTGAAAATTGACGAAACTCGAACTGGTTTTAGAACTAGTTTTATAAACTCGGTTTTCCAAACGGACTTCAGGTAATTGTTATGCTAATTTCTTGGATTGCTTGGGTCAGGTCTTTGTTAATGACTCGTGCATAAGTCGAGGGTGATTTTTTTGGGCTGACTTTTTGGTCATAACAGGTCGACCTATACACGAGTAAATACGGTATCCATGGAAAAATAGGGTAAGTTTCTAAAGAAACTACGGTGCTGCGTCGGTGGGAGAGTGTACCAAGATAATTTAGCATTATAAACTAAATTGATAACGTAAATTGGCCATCGTAAAGAGTTAAAAAGCTGACGTTTCGAGCGTGAGTGAGCGCTAATCTCGTGATATGATTCCCTCGACATGCGATTGCCAGTTCAAGTGATCTCAGCGCGACTTAATCTTAAACAAGTTCCGGCGATGTAGTATTATGAATAAACACACTTACAGACAGTTGTTAGCTTTTCATGACTTCGTTACAGTGTTGACAATTATTTCCGCAAGGAGAGCGGAAAATACCAAACGCATGTGAAAATACATCAACATATTAGCTTGTTACGCTTTTTTGTGTCATAACAAACATGGTTGTATTTTATTTAGACGACACCTTTAACTGTAATCGAGACAGGCTTTATAATGAACGTAATTTACGTGACAAATCGCAGATTTGCACAAGAACGAGCCAAATAGAAACGACGTTATATGAACGAAAGGAAATTTCCGTACCTGTGAGTGCCTTACCCCAGCCATACTCCTTCAAGAATACGATGTACAGAATGCCAAAGCTGTTGTGGATTCCCAGCACCACAAATTGTACAAGAGCCGCAGATATACAGACGATCCAACTCCAGCCACTATCTTTGCGAATCTCAGTTTTAGGATGAGCGATAGAGACAGCTTCCTTAGAGTTTGCTATCTTGTTATTTCTATGCTCAACGTTTCCCGACATTTTTTAAAAATTCAGCCTGTTTCACTGTGTCTCAAGCGTGACGCAATCCATGTTGATGAAGTTATGCTCGCATGTTAATCACGATCCTAATAAACGATATCGCTTCCTTCACGTGCTTATGAAGACGGACGAGAACAGCAACGGGGGGGGGGAAGGTGGGATTATTCGCCAAAATAGTATCGGCATGTGTTGCCCGTGTCTTAAGAGAGCAAGTTGTTAAACGTTACAAGCTCGTGCTAGTTTATCCGACCAGCCATGTTTGATGTAGAGTTATACTGGAAGATGGTGGAAGGCAGGTGGATGGCGATAAGAAGAATATGAATTATTTTTTAACAGTCGAGCGCAAAGCTCTCCAAGCTGCTGAGGCCGTGACCGTTGTCGATAAAATCGTTTTTCACACGTGTAGGGAGGCGTGACACCTTTGTAACAATAAAAACAGCACGGGAGGTGATATAAATACATGTAAACTTTTACGCGCCAAACACATGAGGGACACGTTTGGGACCGTAAGCTGTCAGGACACGCCGGGGAAGACTTCAGTTAACAATTTAAATTTTTAGCTAAAAATTCCGTGAATGGCTCGATTTGTTTACGTCTCTAACGGCACCGCACCCCAAATTCAGCATAATGTATTTAAAGATATACAGACGATCCAACTCCAGCCACCATCTTTGCGAATCTCAGTTTTAGGATGAGCGATAGGGACAGCTTCTTTAGAGTTTGCTATCTTGTTATTTCTATGCTCAACGTTTCCCGACATTTTTTAAAAATTCAGCTTGTTTCACTGTGTCTCAAGCGTGACGCAATCCATGTTGATGAAGTTATGCTCGCATGTTAATCACGATCCTAATAAACGATATCTGTTTCCTTCACGTGCTTATGTAGAGGAAATTGCCGCGGACGAGAACAGTTAGGGGGGTCGGATTATTCGCCAAAATAGTATTGGCATGTGTTGCCGGCGTCTTAAGAGGGCAAGTTGTTAAACGTTACAAGCTCGTGCTAGTTTATCCGACCAGCCATGTTTGATGTAGAGTTATACTGGACGATGGTGGAAGGCAGGTGGATAGCGATAAGAACAATATGAATTTTTTTTTAACAGTCGAGCGCAAAGCTCTCCAAGCTGCTGAGGCCGTGACCGTTGTCGATAAAATCGTTTTTCACACGTGTAGGGAGGCGTGACACATTTGTAACAATGAAAACAACATGGGAGGTGATATAAATACATGTAAACTTTTATGCGCCAAACACATGAGGGACACGTTTGGGACCGTAAGCTGTCAGGACACGCCGGGGAAGACTTCAATTAACAATTTAAATTTTTAGCTAAAATTCCGTGAATGGTTCGATTTGTTTACGTCTCTAACGGCACCGCATCCCAAATTCAGCATAATGTATGTAAACAGTTTTAAGCTTTGAATGGAAAATAAATAATTTACTGTCAGGTTTCGGTTCTCGAAACACACAAATTTTGGTGACTTCACGTTGTTGTTTGTACAGAACGGCCAAAGTCATAAAACACACGAGCCGAACTTTCTTCTCAAGGAAACTTTTGATTCGCCGCGTCCTCGTTACTCTCGCCGTCGTGGTCTGCTCCACGTCTTTAGAAACACTATTACAATCGCAAAACTTAACACACGGAAATTATAGAATACAGCTGAAAGTCTTGTCGCAATTGTTTCTTCTCTATGAATCTACAGATTGCTTTCGCACACAATACTCGCGCGGTAACCATAGCTGTCGCGCACTTATTCAAAAGGCCCTCGCGTGTGGTCTGAGGCCATCCTTGCACGCTACTCAAGTTTATCGTAGAGAATGAAAAAGGAGAACAGTTTAGAATCTCCACCAGGATTTTTAGAGACCGGAATTGGTCAAGACAAACAACTTTTCAAAATGAACACGGCGGCCTTACATTTGTCCTTTAGTCTCTCTGATTTTTGAACATGCAGGAAAAATTTCCTCTTTCAGACTGAGTCAAATTGAACACACATCTGTATACCTCTTTATGATTTATTAATCAATGGATAAGTTTATAAATAGTGAAGAAATCTTACTGTTTTCGTTTAAATAACGGCTTTGAGTTGTGATAGAATGGGTAGCAAAAAAAAAAACAACAACAAAAAACAACCCTAACATGACCACTTGACGTATTGGAAGCTGTTACACTCCTTAAAGCACTGGAAGAAGAACCAACAATCCCATTCCCCCCCCCCCCCACCCTTTAGTCACATCACAACCCTAGAGCCTAGGTTATTTTGCAATTCTAGGCGGTGTACCTGACTACTCTTCTGTTCAGACTTAAAATCATAAATTTTCCATAGAACCAAGTTAATTTTCACTCCTATGAAAATCGACAAAAATTTCATTGGGCCCATCTCCCAATGGAAATCTTTATCATTTATTAGTATCCAAAATAACATTAATGTCATAATTTAAAAACTTCCTGTATCAGTCAAACCTAAAAATTCTCCTTTACTAACTCGATAATCCAGTTTCTTTATTTATGACAACAAATCTCTTGCGAGTCTTTGAATACAAGAGCATTTCACCTTCGCCAATGTTGAACCAAAGACCATAAAGTTGAACTGAACCTTCATCAAGTTTATTGCGTACAAATCGGTATGATCTAATATTCTGCATTTGTTGAAGAACGTTTACCTATTATACAAAGAAAAGGAATTAATAGAAATAAATGGTTGACTGATCAACTGATTTACTGAAATGACTAACTGATTGACTGACTTACTCATATACTGACTGACTTGACAATGATTCACTACTCACTGACTGACTCACTATTCACTGCTAGCCAGACTGACTAAATGAACACCTAACTGACTAATTGTCTAACTCTGACTGACTGATTGTATGACTGACTGACGGATTGTCTGACCAACTGACTTATTGTCTGACTGACTGACTGATTGTAGGTACAGTCTTGTAGGCTGACAGCCAGAAAGAGAATTAGATTGACTGATGGACAAAGGATGAACAGACACATTGCAGATTAGCAAACTAGTAGTCTGGCTGACTGATTGAGAACAGATTCACTGACTAGCTAACTGACTGACAGACTGACAGAGAGATTGACTGATAAGTAAATTGACTGAATGAATGTCACACCGACTGACCAATCAACTACCATCTGGCCAATTAACTGACAGACCAAACTAACCGACCCAATGACTATCTGACTGAGATCAACTGAATGACTGGTACACATAGAGGTGACAAAAAAATAACACAGGTACCTGTGAAAGCTTATCGACATCGGATAGATCCTTTTCTTTATCAAACATAATCTCTAAGTTATCTTTCTCCTCAGAACTGCCATCTATAGGAACCCCAAGCTTCTCAAACTTTGTTAGTGATGACTGTGCATACCGTCTGAGCCAACCTGATACCCAAGAAGTTTCAGAATCTTGCTTCTCTTTGTCTGTGGTGTCATGCATGTGATAAAGGCAGTCCATTGCCTACAATATAGAGAATGTAAAATACTTTTCAATGATGCTGAACAGACAGTTGAGGATTCAAATACATTTCCAACTTTTTTTGTCCCAAAACTTTTCTTTCATGAGGGTATATTGGCACTTAACCTGTCCCTACCCTTGACAAATCCAGTTTTGACCAACACCACGTTCAGTCTCCAGCTGTTGGTGTTTTGAAGCATCCTCAAAAAGGAGAATCTAGAGGATCATGGGTACACCAATACACCCATGGCTAGAGACTGGGTATGAGCTTATACTGGCCTTTCTAGATTTTTCTTTAAAATTGATACCCACACCTTCCTGATGGAATTTCCCAAAACACTTCTAAGATGGGTGTGGGTCATAAATTGTTTTGTGTAGCTACCTTACAGTCTGAATGTCCACAAACTGCTATGTCTTTGACTCCAGTGGAAATTGCTAACTCCAAAGCTGCTCTTTCTGAAAGTGGACTTTGTTGGTTTTCTCCAAACAGCTGATTGTGTGGCACAACATTTCCTGCATTTCTCATAATAAACATATCACCAGGATCTGCTTGAGTAAAACTGGTAGGACACAAACGGCTGTCCATACAGGTTATTAGAAGCATGCGTGGCTAAAAGAGGGTGTAACAGGTAAAAAATGGAAATTAATCAAAATCTTTAATCGAACGTGTTAACCGTCACGATCTTTCGTTAGACTGTATATATTACAGAAAAACCTGGCTGAAGTAAACATACCTGGGCTTTATGAGCGAGTTTTTCTAGTTGTGGCAGCAGAGAAGGTCGCACAAGACTTTTGAATTTTAAAACACCCTGTAGCAGTTTCTCCATCTTCGAAAATCAATGAGAACGTCATAATCAGATCAACCGGTCGTGGTTAAACATGTCGAAATAAGATAGAACAAAATATAAACAAAGCCTCGTATTAATTTCCTAAGGATCAAGCCACATACCTTAAATTTCTGTGAAGACACCTACGAGGAAAAAACTATAAACTGTGAAAGTTTCAATTTTCTGTCGACCATAAACCTTGAAGATTCAGTCGCAGGTACCAGACAGTATAAAATGTGAAAGGCATTCAATATGGACCAAAAACTATTTCCAGTAGGAGTGGGGTTAGGAAGAGTTGGACTTGATCAAACAGGCGGAAATTTCTTCTCCAAATGAAAACCCAAAGCCGGCTTATTTACTTAATTTGGATCTAGTTGGTTTGAATACGTGCAGAATGGTCAGTTTATCTCAATTAATTGAAGAGTTAGGCGTCTTTTGAGCGTGTATTTTGATCAAAGTCACGCGGAGACAACTTCTGTGGGTGTGTGTTTGTACTCGTGTTTCACCCGTGGCTAGACGATCATACTTCGTGTTGTTCTGTCTGTCGAAATCAGCCGCCAAAACACTATTCGATATTCAGCATAGAATCATTTCTTTAAAAT